AACTTGCCACCACGAAGGGGAACTAAATATTGAAATGAAGGGAAAAATAATCTTATCCTTGGTGGCCTTAAAAGCAAGCTGAACTGTCACTGGTGTACAGGAAGGCAGCATCAGGTAGTGGACCAGAGGCTCTGAGGTTAGAAGCTCTGAGGTTAAAGACTCCACTCACAGATTCCTCCTGACCATCCTATGACCTGGCTGGGAGCAAACCGCTCAGCCTAAGCTTCAGCTTCCCTCGTCTAGAAAATGGGGTTGACAATAGTGCCACCTCACCAAGTAGCTATGAGGATTAAATGGATACTATACTTTGTCTATCACCCGCGTGCACAGGACCATACAAGTCTGTACTTAACGCTAAGCTCTCCACCAGGCCCTGGGTTTGCAGGTGTTGCCTCTCAGAGGAAAAGCCAGTGTCAAAAAAGAGTTCTCTCTATTGAATTCTTACATGAACCTCTTTGATGGGTGTCAGGCCAACATCGGGCATTCTGCCACACATATTACAAAGGTACAAAGGTTTGACACTTGGAAATCATCGATGGAATGAAAAAAATACATTTATCCTTGCAGAGATTATACCTCCAATTTGGTAAAAGAATTGGCTTTGCTTGGAGGAGGAGGCATCACACTTTCCTGCCAAATATCTAACACTTAAATGACGTCTGGTGAGCCTGAGCAGCCTGAGCGCTCCAGGAAAAGGCCACCAATAAAAAAATCCTTTCCAAGGGTCTATGTGGAGCGAGGAGAGAGGAAATGCAGTCAGCTCTTTTTTCTCCGCAGGAAGGGAAGACTGAACAACTGCACATCAGGAGAGAAGGCAAACAAATTGCCCATTCAAGCCAAAATAAGCTGCTCCTGGAGGAAGCAAAACTGCTGGAGTTGATTCAGCCAGACACAGAGGTGAAGGCCCCTAAGACTGGGCTGGGCCTGGGGAGCCTGCCTCTAGCAGGCAGGCATCTTCTGAGCAAGCAGTGGCCACATGGCCCGCATCTCACCTCTGCTGACCTAAGTCTACACCCACAAATGGGAGCCAGCCAGCCAGCTTTGTTGGATGTGGAAGGAAATCCTGATGGAAAGGAAGAAAAGAAACAAACTAGTGAACCTGACAAGTGAGTGACCACCTATTATGTGGCAGGACTGAGCAGGCACCTGGTATACCTGGCATTTAGGGGTGGGTATCACGATGGTGATTTTACAGATGAGGAATCGTGCTTGGTGAGAGAGAGTGATAGTACAGACACATAGCCAGAGGGTGGCCAGGCCAGCCATGGCCAGTGACCTCAGCTCTGTCCTTCCTGCTTGTCACTTGAGCTTCTACCACCTATTATGTGGCAGGACTGAGCAGGCACCTGGTATACCTGGCATTTAGGGGTGGGTATCACGATGGTGATTTTACAGATGAGGAATCGTGCTTGGTGAGAGAGAGTGATAGTACAGACACATAGCCAGAGGGTGGCCAGGCCAGCCATGGCCAGTGGCCTCAGCTCTGTCCTTCCTGCTTGTCCCTTGTCCCTCAGCTCTGTCCTTCCTGCTTGTCCCTATGCCCAGCTCCCGCAGTCCTTCCTTTGTCTAAAGTAGGAACTTGCACCGCTTCAAAGACCCAAAGCAACTTGCGAAAAAAGGGAAAAATCAAACCCAGAAGCAGATGAAGTAGCAGAGTAGAGTTATTTCAAACTCCTAAGAAATCTGAAATGTAGCTGCTGTGGAGCTTGCCTCAGGCTGGAACATGCAGGTCCTGAGTCTCTCTCTGGGACAATGGATAGCAGAATCTTGACCTGGAACAAATCTGGACTAGCAATGTTTCCAGGGATGTTGAGATTTCCAGATCCCCTAGTCTGGGGCCCTCAGGCTACAGTTTACAAATCCATTCTGCAGCTATGCCGAGCTCCTGCCCTGGACCTCAACATCCTGGATGAGAAAGACACTTCCTTCTCTAGCTTCTGAGACTCCCACCCTGAGTCTCAGACCTTCTTGTAGTCATCTTACATTACCTCCTTCCTTGAGATCTTAATATATAATAATAAAAATAATGAAAATAATAATATCAGCTAACACCTATCGAGCCTTTACTTTTATACCAGGCAGTTAGCACTTTACATAACAATCTTATGAAGTCAGTGGTATATTCTAGAAGAGGTGCTCAAGACACTGGGAGATTAAGCCACTTATACAAGGTTACACAGTTCATAAGTGGAAGAGTCAGAATTTGAACCCAGTGCCTGTGCACTACCCGTACTCCCTCAGGCCCTAGGATATGCTAGAGTTAAAAGAATAGTCTCGGAAGTCAGGCAAACAGATCTACCATTTACTGCTACTTATCCCTGGGCAACCTGATTAACCTGTCTAACCTCCGAGTCTCAGTTGTCTTCTCTATAAAGTAGATGCAACAAATATACTTTGTGGAGTTGTGTCCATTCTAAGACAGAGTAGGTCTTAAATTATGTCCTTCACCCAACTCTTTTTCACCTCCCCTTCCAATTTGATTGTCACACATTCATTAGACATTAAGGCTGCTTCTACCCTTGAACAAAGTTTGGCTTCTTTATATTCCGTTCTAGGCTATTCCATTCTGTAACTATTTCATGCCCATAAGGTGAGGGACCCAGCACCACTCACTGTGGGGCTGGATCTCAGGGAATGAGACTGAAGGCAGGGAAGTCCATCTAAAGCAGGCAATGGCAGAAGGGCCGAGGGCAGGAGCTGGCTGTGAGAACCAGGCTTTAAGCCGACAGGGACTCTCCTCCTCCAGCTTGTCTCCCTCTTGCTGGCTTCCTGCCAGGGCTAACAGGCACTTCTTGTCACTTCCTATTGCCCGGCTTGCACCCTGCAGGGCATCCCTTGAGGGCCTCATTCCTCCAGAGGTGGGGAGCCTCTGCTCCCAGCTCACATGCAGGCACGTAGACGTGTTCAGAGCCCTGTGACTGGACCCACCTTTCCTGACTATGAAACCACTCATTCTTCAAACTGTGAGCCAGGCACTGGGGACAAAATGGAAAATAACAGGTCCACCCCCAAGGGATTCACCAGCATGCCCTCTGCTCCTCCACTGCCTCTGATGTTCCCCTCGTTTGTGTGACATGGGATACACCTTTCCAGAATGTCATCGCTTCTCTCTTCCAACCAAGCACTTCACTAAAACAGTCACACTAACAAGCGAGTCTCCCCTCTCTCCATCCCAACCAAGAGAAATGAGAAACAGAATTATAAATACATAAATATATATATACATATATTTCTTATATCCCAAGCACTCCCTATATCCCAGGTATTTCACACATATTTTCCACCTCATCATCACGACAACAATTCTGCAAGGTGGAATTAGCCCTATTACATAGATGAGGGGGTGGGGGGAAATGGAAGCCCACAGAGATGGAGCCAGTTTGAACCACGGCTGTCTACCTGCAGAGTCTATGCTCATTCTACAGCCCCATGCTGGCCTCTGTCAGCTCAGCCTGCCACCCTGCTAGCTCTGGCCCCCTCCTTCGTCTGGATTTTGTTCTTTCAAGTATTTAGATTCCCTGTAATCTTCTTGTTTGTGCTAGTCCCAGAGGAAGGCAACCTCTTCCAGTGCCATGACAGCAGCAGCAGCAACATCCTAGGCACCACCTCCGATTCTCTGATTAGCTTGTCTTAATTATACCCAGGCTGCAGCAGTTCCGGTACTGCTGCAAAGCATGCAGGTTTGCTGTTCCATTTTCTTGCTCCTTCTCTGACTCCAGCCCCTTTTACTCCCCACCCCCTCTGCTGGATGGCAGCCTATCTCCTCTGCTGTCCTTGGTTCTGCCTCCCTGCACATCGCATTCAGGCCTGCAAAGCAGTGCTTCAAACTGCTGCCACCCCAGGCAGCTGAGCCAGTCTAGCTCAATTCAGAAAAGAGTGCTCAAGTCTCTGCTGAGTGCCAGGCATGGCTCTGAGTCCTACAAATAGGCAGGAAGCAAAAGGAAAACACAGCAGCCTTGCCCTTCAGAAGCTTAGAGTCAGAGGCAGGGAGAGAAAAGTAGACAGGAGCAGAAACTGCCGGCACAGGGCAGGCAGTGAAGGGATTGTAACAGAGTCCTAAAATATCAGAGCTGGAGGGATCCTTGATTTCCTGTTTTAACCCCTCCATTTTACAGATGGGGAAACTAAAGCCCAGAGGAGGGCAATTATTTGAATGATATCAGGTAATAACAATCCGCACTTTTAAAACCCTTACGAAGAGCTAAGTTCTATTCCTCATGCTTTATATGTATTAACTCACTTGACCCTCTCAGCAACCCTCTGAGGTAGCACTATTGCCCTCCCCATTCTAAAGAGGAAGAAAATGAGGCATTGAGGAGCTAAGTACCTTGTTCAAGTTCACACAAGTAGTTAGTGGAAACCTGTATTGAACTTAGGCAGTCAGCCCTATATTGTTGTCTCTCTAATGTACTGTGAGATGGAGAAACAGTCTACATGTGGAAGTAATAATAAGGCTTCTTGAAAGAATTACTCATAGGCCTAATTATAAAAACAGTGAACCTTGGTTATCCAGTCAACTAAGCAGAAGTCTCAATTAACCAGAGGTCTGGCTTCAACTGGGAGTTCCTGAGCGCCATGAAATACCAGGCAGTAAGTAAGCAGAGCCTCATATTTCCAAAGAAAGCACCAACCAAGAGGAAAGAACTTAGTGGAAGGGATTTATTCAAAGAAACTGGAGCAACCCAATTCTCTTCCCCTTTTATAGCTGACGTTCTACACATGCTGCCCTCAGCCTATCGGATCTTTAATATCATCAAATGCCACTTCCTGAAGCAGGGAGACTGGCTCAGGCACCTTAAAAAGATGCTCAATGATGCAGATTGAAATTTTTAGAAAAGGAGCATCTAACAAAGCCCTGGTCAACCAAAGACTTCCATTTCCCAGAATCTCCCCCGACACACACACATACATGCACCCTGGCCTTCGGTTAACCAACAGTGTTCTCCAGTTCTGCTACATGAGTTTCAGAATAAACAGTTACCAGTATACTAACTACTTACCAATCACTGCCAGATTATGCTCTGAGCCACAAGAGACCTGTAAAAGGAAAGAAAATAAGTTATATTAGTTGATATTTCAGCCTGTGTATTTTATGATCAGTTATTTTTTAATAACACCAATATCCATTTTTGGCAAATTTTAGGAAGTCAGTAGAAAGGGGCACCATATACAAAAGTTAAGACTATAATTATAACACACTCACAACTACAGAAAAAGTGATTTCAAAATTTGAGTGGAAATACACCCAAATGTTAAAGTATTTGTCTTTAGGCAGTGAGACTATAGTGATTATTTTTTTTAAATCCTTCCTTCTTTCTACTTTTTTGTATTTTTCAAACTTTCTATAACGAGCATGTGTTACTATAAAAATGGAAATATAAAGCAATACGAATCACAGTTTTTGAAAACTGAACCACTCTCATCTGGACTGATAAAATCAGCAAAGAATTGGGTGGAAACAGACTTGTCTGAGGACAAATGCTTGACTTTCCTCATCTGCTCACTCTCACTTCCACCTTCCAGCCACGCGAACATCCTTAGTTCTCTGAGCACGACATGCTCTCTCACACACCTGGGCCTTTGCACATGCTGTTCCCCTGCCTGGAATGCCCTCTTCTCAACTGCCTACCTAGAAAACTTCTGCTCATCCTTTAAAATCTCAAAGCATCGCTGAGACTCCTTTGGAGTTGCTTCTGGGCAGCCTCAAGCACTCTTTTCATTGCACAGCTTATATGTACCCCCGTTACAGCAATCACGTTGTGGCCTTCTACAATTTTTTCTGTCTCCTCGCTAGACTGCACGTGTCTTGAGAACAGGGCTGAGTCTCATTCACCTCTATATTGCACAGATAAACTGTACAAGGTGGGGGACTCAGTTAACATCTGCTGAATTAGAGAATGGATGCAAGATCAAAGCACATGGAAGAACAAATACCTAACACATAAAAGAATAATTTGGGATTCTGAACCCAGTGTTTCCACCCAGTGAGGGGTACTTCTTGCCTTTCGGTCTCTGCACGTCCCAACTGCTACCAGGAAGAAGTGACTGGAAATATAAAAGCAGAAATGGTTGTCCAGGTACCAATTAAAAGGAGCTCAAGACTCTGGAGAAGCATCCTGTGACCTTTATCAGGATGCTCACTTTAGCTCCCAGCAAGAGGAAGGCTTCAGGTACTTAAGGAATGTCAGTGCTAGAAGGGCCCTGGAGATCTTCCTCTCCTCTCTTTCCACTT